TCCATGGGAGCGGATACCTCTTGAATATCTAAAACCTCCATAGTTGTAGTAGCATCTTCGGGATGTTCCACATGTACGACGAGAATGATAATTGGCAATAGCTTGGGGGTAGCTCGGCATATGCGTGACCAATGATCCTTTGATCCATAGCGGTAGCACATGTCCAGCTCAGTGAAATTCAATTGAACTGTAACTTTTCTCTTATTCTTGAAGTTTGGGGCCGTAAGGGTAATGGGTTGGCGTTTCTGGGTCAAATTTCCTCCTTTGGGTGGGCCTTTGCTTTGTTGACCTTAGGCTCATTGTGGGGCTTGCCACCCATTTCCACGGACATGACAGGATTTTTGTTTGTTGTGCATGCTAGAATTCGTTGTATGCGCTTCAGGCGAAGCGTTCGAGTCAGTAGGTCGAGCTTGATAATTCTTCATCAAAAGTTGATTCTGCTTTTCAGCGAGAAGTAAAACAAAAATCAAATCCGAAAATTTGGTGAACTTTGTGCCCTATATTTTTGTTGTAGGACAATATTAGTGGCATTGAAGGTCGAATAGGTCTTCTCTATGAGATCCTCTTCAGTTAAGTTCTCTTCATAGAACTTAAGCAGTGATCGGATTTAACAAACTTCAGAGTTGTATTCATTCACAAACTTAAAGTCTTAGAAGCGTAAATGCTGCCAATCGTGTCTTGCTTCAGGCAAGTAAATGTTTTTTTGGTGATCGAAACGATTGGCCAGAGTAACGCAGAGGGTGCGAAGGTCCTTTTTAGTGAAGTACTCAATCTGCAGTGCATCATGGATGTGTCTTTGGATGAAGATCATAGTAGTAGCTTTCTGAGCTTTATTGAGTGGGTTGTCGGTAGGTTCCTCGATGGTGGCTCGAAGACTCTTTGCAGTAAGATGAAGCTTCATGTTTTGAATCCACTTTAGGTAGTTTCTGCCAAATACTTCCAAAGCAGTGAAATCGAGCTTGTTTAAGTTCGATATGTCCCTAAAATAGATGGTACAACAAAAACGTGGTTAGTCATACGGAAAACCATAGACATACATTATAGAACATTTGGGTTCTATAGACGTATTGGTTTAATTTAAGTATGAAAGCTACGGGTTTCATGTGGTAAGTTTTGAATGAAAACTTCGGGTTTCAAAGGCGCTAAATTCCAAAGTACATGTTCGATTTAGTTATGAATGTTTAGTTCATATATAGGGGTACCTGCAAGAACACAGAATACAATATACAACTAAGTGTAGTGAGTTTGTGGATTGCTTCAGGAACCTATGTGTGAGTGTGTCGGGACTACGAAAGATAGTCAACTGTTCAAAGAAAAGAAATAATTTATTGAATCGTTAATTGCTAAAAAATAAGCTTCAGGCCAATAATTTTGAATTAATTGTCAGATTAATGGACTGCTGGTCACTTTAATTAATTTAATAGATTGTAACCATCCAGGTTTAATGTAGGAGCAATATAATAACATTCGGGGTAATATTAGCAGGAATGCTAAACAAATAGCATTGGATTTGAAAAATCATAGCCTAATATTAATGGGCTGGTTGTCGTGTACAGGGCAAAGCCCTTAAGGGGTTTAATGGGCCACGGGTTGGTTGCAAAGGCAGCCCAATCATGGCTGTAGGCCACGGGCCGGTTATGGGAAGGAACCTAGTAGCCCAAGCAACTAGTTTTGGGCCAAAATGGTGCGGGGGGAAATGAGCCCAGCACATGTGATGGCCTGGGGGTGTGCACGTGAAGCCTAGCCGCATGCTGGCTTCAATTTTGGGCTTGGGAAACAAGCCCAGCCATCTGGGCTAGCTTTGGTGATAACAGGCCGTGATAAATGGTGAAGCCCAGCAAGCCGAGGCTTGCTACAGGCAGGTCGGAGCTAAGACAAAGCTCAGCAAGCACAAGGCTTGCTGGCAGGTTGGGGTAAGTTGTAAGGGACGGTCCAGCAAAGTTGTAGGCCTGTTGGTGGGCTCAAGGCTTTAGGCCCGCGTAAAACCCAACCCAGGTCGAAGCTTGGTTGTCAGTGCAGGGGCAGCAAGCCCACGGGGCTATTGCAAGATGGTCCATGACGTCGAAACGACGCTGTCCTTGTGGCGTGGCTGCAGGCCAGTCATGTCGGCTCGACGGCGCGGCATGGAGTTGTGACTCAACCATGAAAAATCCAATTTTTTCTTTCTTCGAATTCTAAGGTTAAAAACCCTAATTGCTTTTAAATTAATTTCGATGGTTTGACTCACAAATTCCATATAGCTTAATTGCGTATTGCATGAACAAATATATATATTGAAAAAATATTTAACACATATGCAATATATATAATTGAAAGGAAATATAAATATAGAGTGTTCATGCATCATGGGGAATGTTTTCATGCTTAAAGGTTGTTTCAAATATCTTAATTTATTTTTAAAGAACATGATTGGCAGAAAATGATTAAGCCCTTGATTGTGTAGAAGAGCCTCCTCCGCGATCCTTCAGTTTCTTAGTTTCTGGCAAGAGCGTGCTGATAACGTATTGTAGGCCTAATTTACAGAACTGTATTTGGGACTAGAGAAGGAGAGGGCCGGCGGTAAGAGAGAGATGTAATTCTGAGGTGTGTGTTGTATCAGTCCATTGTGCCTTTATTTATAGTAGTATGATAGGTTAAATCTTTATCCTAATAGGATTACTATTCTAATAGGATAATATCTAACTCTTAGGGAATATTCTAAGATACCCCTATATACACTAGGATTTACACAATCACATCCCTAATCTAATAAGACTGCAACAAAGGATAATCTACATAAAATTTATTTTTTTTAAAAAAATACCGAAAAAAAAAATTAGGCTATAATCATTATTTAATAATCTCAAATTAAAATTTTAAACAATAAGAGTTGGAGGAGATAAATAATTTCTGAGTTATGGCTTAAAATTTTCCAGCTTAAAATTTTTTTAACTTAAATTTTTAAGTTTTATCCCTTAGGGTTGGAGATGGTCTAAGAGGTTGGGTTACTCACCATATTGCTAATTAGTTTTATGACAGAACCTCAACTTTTTTCATTATGATCCATTGCGGGGCACCCAACTACACTCCACTTGAATGCGTTTTTGTTGTGTGGCGCATATTTTTTTACCATTGCAATCCAATGGTCATTTTTTTAGTTTTTTGTTTTTTTTTTCAACGATTAATTTTTTTAAACCCAACAGCTCACATCTAGGTTAATCAATTTTAACGATAAAAAAAATCAAACAGCTTAAATTTAAATCTATAATCAAAATAATATTATTAAGTAATCCAAAAAAAACTTTGTAATACCCATCCGACTCAAAAATATATGAGCAAATTTTTTTTGGAATTTGAATTTTGTTACATCAAAATGTTCGTAAAAATAAAACTAGATAGATTATACATAAACTAATTCCAAAATTATTAATATAAAAAAATCAATGAAGTACAAAAGTTTAACAAAATCATACATATAGATGAATAGTTGAAACTATGAGGCTTAATTTTGGGATTTCCCACCCTAATGACTCTAAAACATGATTACCTATCTGGGCCCTTGCGACCTTTTGCAATATGATTCGAAGTTCACTTGCTATCGAACAATTGGTAATTGGCTGTTGGTGTGCAAGTTTGGCATGTTGGATTGATTTGTTTTTCTTTTAAATGGAACGATATATTTACTTGTTTAAGGGTAAGACATGTTGTGCATGATATGACTAAATGGATTCAAACTAACAATCTATGATATCGTATCGGGTAGTGGCTTACAAATCTCCTCTACTGAAAGAAAAAACTTTCATCAACCGCCCAAGTTTTAGAGAGAACTGGGTGAGACCGTGAGACTACGGATAGGGACTGCAGAAAAAGGTAGTATATCGCAACGGACGATTCCAACATTTATACTGTTTAGTACGTGGATGGGACAGAACGCAGTAAGATAGGACGTACTCATCCCACGTTTGGTGCACCAATTTTCCTAGGGTGCACTGTCCCATTGAACTAAAATGTCAATTTTTTGTGCCACCCTCCCCCTGTAACGACTTGTTCCAGCCCATGAAACACAAAATTATAACTTTTTAGATACTAATACCCCTCCTTTTTTTCATTAATTTCACTATCTACTCTCTCTCCCGTAGCCTCCCTCTCTTCGACTCCCCCCCTGCCAACTCCTGTAGCCTCCTCCTCCTCCACCATAAACCCAGCAACCCATCCGAACCCAAACCCACCTTCCTCCCTGCTAGCTAGTCCCACAACTAGACTATCACCCTCCACCGCGAAAACCTTAAGACCACCCACTCGCAGGACGTGGCCAACACCGTTGCTCGAGGGATGGGACGGCGAGGATTAGGCAAAAGATGTGAGGAATGACGTGGCGAGGATTAGGCAAAAGATGTGAAGAATGACGTGGAACTCGTCGACGGTGGCTCAGGTAAGGTCGAACTCGTAAGAGTGGATGGCTCAGGTAAGGTCGAACTCGTAAGAGTGGATGGTACGATTGTCGTTTAATCCTTCATTCCATTCCGGCCTAGCGTACACCAAACGTAGCATGGAATCTCCGTTCCGTCCCGTTCTGTCTCGTTCTGTCCTGTCTGCATACCAAATTGTACCATAAAGGACCCTTTTTATGGTTCGACTAGCGGACTCTAGAAATTTTTTTCTACATAAAAGGTGAGACTTTCATTCAGATTGGACTTAGTTTCAATCCGCTTCGTCCCAGCTGCCAAACGAGCTGAGATGACTATTATTCCAATCCTATAGTCCCTCGCAATAAGGGCACATATGCATCCAGTAATTCAAAAGCAGTTTAGATTATAGTTACAGTTACATATGAATGAAAACTCCACTTTCGTTTGAGGTTTTGTCACTCTCATTACGAGTGTATAGTTACGTAAGTCACAGTATCAGAAGCTAAATTGGAGCGTCAAAATCACAACCCTTACATGAAACCTCCTTCAACAAAAGTGGCTTAATCAACTCAAAATAAAAGCCATCAATCCATGACTCCACAGAACAAGTACTCAAACTCCAACACTTGTCATCAGTATCACAACATGTGGTGCAGGCAAAGCATTCTGCGGAGGAGGAGCCTCAACATCTTGCGGAGGAGGAACAACGTGTAGCGGTGCTCGTCTAGGAATAATATCAGTTCGACAAAGAGGGCAGTTAGAGTGTGAGCTGAGCCACATGTCAATGCACCCCACATGAAACAAGTGTGCACATTCCGGCAGCACACGGATTTCCTCGCCGTCAGTAAATTCACACAAACAAACGGCGCAGGTTCCTTCACTGCATTCCTTGGTGTACTTCAAAACCGGGATCACCTTATTGTAGGAGGGCGAATTAACGCTGCGTACAGTTGTTGATCTGAAGTTTCGGTTGACGTCATGCCATTGACGACGTTGTTCATGTTGTGTTTGCTCTTGTTGTATGTTGTTTTCTTCGCGCATTTGGCTGCAACAAAAGTGGATGACAAGGAGTTGGTACGTCGTGACAATTATGGCTCCGGCTGCAACGCCCAGTAGGCCGATGAGTTCGGGGGTGAGTTGGTATCCGTGGTGCGGTTCTCCGTCGGCCATGGTGTAGAGATCAGAGATAAAGATGGTGGCTGATGGAGAGGAGGATTTGGGCATGTTAAATTGGCATTGTTGTTTTATAGGTGACCTGGAGAGATTTGAGATTTTGTCTTGTGACATTGTGACAAAATAAAGGCTTTAATATATGCTCAGTTTAAACGTCGGTGTTACGGATAAAAAGAAAATGACTTTATTACAAGTATAATTAGGAATAATATAAAAATATTGACTTGTGTAAGGATAAATGTTAGCATTTGAACATCAAATATCATCAAGGTAGCAGTCAACACAGTAGGGTAAGTCAACGCTGTCGGTCAATAGCTTATGGGTTTTGGTGTGAAGAAGCCCAATTCAAGTTAAGTTGGTCCATCACAAACATGTAGTGACTTGATCCAGCCCAAACTCTGATAGAAGTGAAAATTGTTCGTTCAATTCGGCCGCTGCTTCTTTCTTTTATTTTTTTAGGCTTTCAAGCTAAAATGATCATTGAGATTTGTATAACTCTTTACTTTGATCTCTGGAATTTGAAATTAATACAAGTGGTCCTTGAGATTGTTCATCATCAATCATTTTGGTCATTTCGTGAAAAGTTATGTTAAATAAAGATTAAAATAACAAAACTACCTTCAATTTAATAAACATAGGCCAAAATTATGTGACAAAAATTAAGAGTATTTTTGTCATTTTATCTTTATTTAATGAAGATTTTTTACAAAATGACAAAAATGATTGATGATGGACAAACGCAGGGACCAACTCTATCAATTTTAAATCTCAAAGACTAAAATGAGAAGTTATACAAATTTTATAGATCATTTTGTAAAAAACCTATTTTTTATTTTATTTTAATTTTTGGTAACATGGGTCCAAGGAGATTCCTTTTGATCATGGGCCAGCCATTCTTCCTCTAATTGCTTATTCCTTGGGGTCCACACTAGATAGTATATGCACATCTTCATGATTTGATGCTAGAATTTGTGGAAGAGCATTCTCTCTCGATCTACTTTGTGGGGATGGTAGGAATTTTTACTTCTTAATTATTTATTGTATATTGTGCAGTCAATTATCATCAGGTACTATTTATATTTAGTTTTAAATAAAAAAATTCAAATGATTTTTAACTGCATAATACACGATGAATGATTATAATGTGAGGATCCTTAGAATCCCCGCAACTTGGATTCGGATGGGATCCAAATCCAGAATTTGTGACAAGTAAAACGGATTTGGATCCTCTCCTGAGCCAATGGAGAGGATCCTCCTGACCCATCATCGTAGACCGTTGGATTTTTATCCAACGGCTACAATTATTATAAATTTAAAAGGACCCCCCTGTTTGTAGCCGTTGGATAAAAATCCAACGGCTCACGATGATGGGTCAGGAGGATCATCTCCATTAGGTCAGGAGAGGATCCAAATCCAAGTAAAACATATAGTTGAAACAGAATCAACCCTAGAACATACTCAAGGCACCGCCAGTATTGCTCTATTACATTCTCTTCATGTACCAGCACCTTTCTAGCCTTCTCTACCCTTCTATTTTGACCTAAATATGTTCAGAACTCGAGTTGTATCGAGCCAATTTGTAGTTGCATCGAACATAATTATCAACTTTTGTCGTTTATGCGTTGTCGAAATGCACCTCTTATTCCCTCACATGTAATTCTTTTGAAAGTGGATAAAAAATAAATAGATAAATAAATAGAAGAAAATGTAAATTGGTATGTTTGACTTTTTCTTAACACAAGGATATATTTACAATAAGTGATGAGAGATTTAGCTAAGCCACGTAATGAGTTAGCATCAATAATTTGGTTTGAACTCGTAATCTATCAGCATCAAACATAAAATCTCTCGTTTACAAGTGAAGATAAATATTATTAGACTATAGTACTTAATGACCAAAACAACAAAATTAACTTAGAAAATTAACATCACACGTTGGCAGATTGCTATTAGTCCAACTAAGCACAACATAGATGATGATACCTACAAAGATTTGATTCCAACCAACTCTCAAACCCCAAAAATTATTGTTAAGAGATGTTGCTTTTCCATGTAAAAAGCTCTGCACTTTCTGTATCTGTGGAGTCGAGTAGGATTCCAAATGCCACCAATCCTCTCTCCAGAAATCTTCACACCTCGTTTTCAAGATCTCTATCTCTTCTCCCAGCTGCCTCAATTATTGTGGTATTTTAATTCATTTTCACATAATTATTTTATAAATCTTTCTCTTTCTAACTTATTTTTATTGTTTGTTTTTTTATTATATCGTTCGGGTCTTGCAAAACGTGTCCCAAATGTCATGGGAATGGCCTTGATCTGCACATACTTCTTCCTCGGTTTGCCATTTTCACATGTTACTTGTCATTGCCAACGACATATATAGGCTGCCGACTTAAATCCTCCATAAATCACAAGGTTATGTTTGGACCGATTTTGCACGCACTCAGCTTATACTCTAAGTTGTTGGATGAGAGAAATATTAAAGATCAAGATTGGTTTCCGGATAAAAGTTGAATCAATTGCATAATTAATTCAGGTTTAGAATCCTAATCGAAAACGGCGAGACTTGGTGTTGATAGAGTTTTGGCCGAGAATAATTTTGAGTATATTTAGAGAATACGTCGAAGAACTAGAATATCATAATGATACCATTCGGTATACTTGGCCATCACGTATTCATTCCTATAAATACAAGAGGATTTGCAATGTAGAGAGCCCTTTCAACCAATTAACAACTCAAATACTCTACGCGAAACCCTTCTCACACCTTTAAGAAACACACTATCATAACCCTCTTGTCAACAAATCTTCAATTTGGATAAGTAAATAGTACTGTGTTGACAACTGGCAACACCTTCAATTTGGATAAGTAAACAACATTGGCACCGTAGATTGAAACAGCATAGGAGCACTTTTAGTTTGGATAAATAGCACTACTTCTAAGGTCATCTCCAACCGAGGGCTAGCCAGACGACTTGCTTTAGCCTTCTGGCCCTCCAAGATATTAATATTTTAATGAACAGTACATGGTCATATTTGTCTTCGTCTCCAATCAAGGACCAAAGGGTCAGAGGGCTCGTTTTAGCATTGTCACAAAAAACCGTCTCCAACTGAGGGCCAAACATAATTTATTATTTAAAAACTACAACTTAAATGTTGTTTAAGTTTCATATTTTTAAATGTTTTTTTTTATGTAGTATAATTTTTATGTTGGTTAATGTTGTTTCATATTGTTTAATGTTGTTTCATGTTACTTAATTTACTTTAGTGTTGTATAATGGCTTAGGAAGTTATAGGGAAAAAATAGAATTAAAAAAAAATATGATACAAATTTTGTGAAATAGAAGTTATAGGAAAAAAATAGAATTTAAAATAAAATGACACTAATTTTGTGAAATAGAAGTTATAGGGAAAAAAATAGAATTTAAAATAAAATGACACAAATTTTGTGAAATAGAAGTCATGGGAAAAAATGGAATTTAAAAAAAATATATATGAAAAAAATTTTGTAAAATAAAAGTTATAGGAAAAAAATGGAATTTAAAAAAAATATATATGAAACAAATTTTGTAAAATAAAATTTATAGGAAAAAAATGGAATTTAAAAAAAATGAAAAATAGAAGTTATAGGAAAATTTTTGTAAATAAAAAATAATAATAAAACTGTAAAAAAAAAAATTCAAAGCATTAACAACCGACAGTAATATATTTATATTAAGTAATACAAATGTATTCTTGTCGGTTATAACCGACAGGATTTCCATTTTTTCTGGCTAGGCAAAGAGTTCTTAATTCTGTTGCCCAAAAATGTAGCTTCATTAGCTTTCTAGCGAAGTGAAATGTTCTATGATTGGTTACTCTTAGGTGCATTTTGCATTTTGGCATTCAGACAATTGAACCGTATTCACCATAAAAACGTTCATCTCCTTTGAGTATATGTGTCCTTACAGCCTAGTACCAATTCGGTGTGCCTATATTCTCACGAATATAGTCGAGGCAGCCAAACTTGGTACATGAGATCCTAAACTTCGCAATGAACTAGGCAACCTTGTTTTTAGGTTCTCGAACCCAAGACGGAGACGAGTTCCTTCATTGGTCGTAGTTGCTCAAGTTCAGAAGTCGGCAAGCATTGGACACCACCATCACCACATCTATTCTACTCGCCCGACCGAGCACGATGCGAGTTGGCATGCCCACATTCACAAAAATAATGTAGTTAGCTCATAGTTACATGGCTAGCGCGCCACTTACGCTTTATAAAATTTAGGGTCAACACTTTCTTGTACTACAAACAAACATCATGATACTCCATTTCAACTTTCTTCTTGCTTTTGTTATGGAATTCTCTAAGGATAATGTTAAAAAAACTAAATTTGGAACTAAATTACAAATTAAATGGTTATTTTTTTCCTCATGAATTGAGTGACTAAACTGCCCCTATATACTAAGCCCACACAAAGATTCCAACAAACTCAATGACACTTCCCCTTTATGAATCTATCTTCATCTTTCTCCTTCTTCCTGCACTAACATAACCATATTGCACCATAACCTAATTTCGTCGCTCGAGAGAAAAGCTTATTTGTGGTCGGTGTGAAGAAAATTTATACTCCAACCTAGTACGGTGTGGATGTGATCTAAATATTTTAGTGGTTATGTTGCTAAAAATAGAGAGACCTACATATACACGAGATCAAATTGACACATATTAAATTTATGACAACAAAATTAAGAAAAGTTAAGATAATGAATACGTGTCAAACACTTATTGAAGCCACAGAGAGGCCACACCTATTTTGGGTGTAGAAGATTTGATTTCCATATATACACATAAACAACTATTATGTAAAATTATACATGTTTTTTTTATACAAATATATATTTATATTAAAGGTGAAGTAATAAATTGACATCAAACTTGTCAAAATTATAATTAAAATCTCTTACTTTACACCCACATCTAACGCTGTTAAGTTTTAATAAAACTAATTATAAAA